TGGCTGGGTGCTGGCAGGCTTGCACCTGGCATGGGCACCGTAGCCAGCCCGTGCCCCTTTAAGAGGTCCGGGGCCGGGAGGGGGGCATAGAGTTTCCCTGGTGTTGGCCAGAGTGGCCACCAGGGAAACCTGGGGAGGGCTAGCCTCCCACTAGTTCGAACTAAAGGGCTACACAGCCCTTAGTTCAAACTAGCTAGTTCGAACTAGGCTTAATCCTCGTAAAATGAGGTTTACCTAGTTCGAACTAAGCGCTCCGCTAGTTCGATTCAAATTCGAACTAGCGGAGCGCTAGTGTCCCTGGTGTTGGCCAGAGTGGCCACCAGGGAAACCTGGGGAGGGCTAGCCTCCCACTAGTTCGAACTAAAGGGCTACACAGCCCTTAGTTCAAACTAGCTAGTTCGAACTAGGCTTAATCCTCGTAAAATGAGGTTTACCTAGTTCGAACTAAGCGCTCCGCTAGTTCGATTCAAATTCGAACTAGCGGAGCGCTAGTGTAGCGCCTAGGAAAGTTAGTTCGAACTAACGTCCGTTAGTTCGAACTAACTTTTCAGTGTAGACATACCCTATTAGACTAGGTCTGTGAGTACAGGGATTCACCTAGATTCTTTGTCTCTTGCAGGAGAGAGAAGAAATCAGGTACTCACATCCCAGTGTCTTTCCAAGTAGATTAGACTCTTTACTGACAAGGGTTATAAATACACCATAAGGACAGACTTGACTTGGGCCTGTCTCTTATATATTGTCATTTTGGAGGACAATATGTAAGAGACAGAACTGCTGCCTGGAGCTCAGCTCATGGTTTCCCAGGGTGTTAATCCCTGGATTGTGCATCTAGGTTGGCTGCAGTATTTGGTGAGGTGGCGCTGCAGCACTTACCTAGCAAGGCCTCCTTGTCCCACTCCACTCACTGTGGCTCTTCAAGATAGATGCTGCATATTCATGCTCCCTACCTGCCTTGCCTCTTGCTCAGAATCCTACCTACATTTGGCCTTGAGGAGGTGGTGGGAGGGACTGAGCCCAGAACATGCTAAACCTCTGCTTTTATAGCCTTGCCTTTGAAGGGTCAGGACCAGGGAATGGGAGAGGCACAAGAGAACTCCACTGTGAGAAGTTCAGGTTGCAAGGCTGTATGTTCCTGAAGGAGTGAACGTGCAGAGTCCATTTCCAAGATCTCTTACAGGTCAGCATTTCCAAATGCTGCCTGCCATGGGCACCAGCTTCTTCTGGGCACCCACTGCTCTGCCCCAGGCTTAGCCTCCACTTGATGTCTTCCCTCATGCTCCCACCCTCTTCCTGCCTCTGTGCCAGGCTCCACTCCTTCCCCCAAGTTATCACCTCTTTCCCACCTCTTCCTGCACCTCTCCTGAGCATACCCTGCTCCTCCCTCCTCCTCCTCTCTCTCTCTCTTTTCTGCACACTGTGAAACAGCTGACTGCAGTGGGTAGGAGGCACTGGGAGGAGTTAGCTTCCCGTGGAAGCTAAGCACCAGTTAACTTTTTTTAGTTGAGGGAGGGGAGGCTGTGCTGTCTGCAGTTGAACTGTTGGCGTAGAAGGGGGTCTAGAAGAAAGAATAGATCTGGAATCCAGGGCTTCTGGGTACCGTTCTGTCACTGTCTCTGTGGCTGCCCTTGGATAAGGCATTTAATTTTGCTGTGCCTTAATTCCACATTTGTAATATGAGGATAATGTGTCTTGCCTCCTCCCACTGGGTTGGCAAGGTGAACTCCTGTCATGCTGGGAGGCATGCTACAGTTGGGAGCACTATGGAACATCCTGTATCCACAGGTCCCTAGCATGCATTGACTAAGGACTTTTCTGATATATCTGATACTGTTCTGGGACAGACGAAAGAGCCAGTGGTAGCACCATATCCAACCTTAGACACCTGCAGTGGTGAGAGAAGATCCTGCAAGATAGCTCTGGCCTCTGATCCGTTACCATATCTCCATGGTTCTACTGTCTGGGATATGCACAAACTGTATAAAAAAAAAGTGCAAGGGGCAGCAGCAGGGTTTAGTTGGCATCAGAAGAGGGATTTTGCAGTGGGAAAG